TTTATATAGACAATATCATAACTCACCTTAAAAAAAAAAAGTAGATTCCACCTTAACAATCAAGGTAACAAAACAAGAAGAAAATAAGAGTGAGGTAGTGTGGCCAATTGAAAGAAACGATCAAACATGACTCTCACATTCACCTTAAGAAATATCTAAAACTTTTTTACGAAAGAAAAATAAACAACACGAACCCAAACTTTTATTCTCCCTGCCACCACCAACTCAATATCTAACAGCAAAAAATTGAAAATCAAGCCAAATTATTGCTCAATAGTGATAGTTCAAAAGGTAATCCTGTCTAGAATTTACATTAAAATAAGATTTAAATAACTTATTGATAAAAAAAACTCAAGACCTCCTAATGCTCATTTTTAACTCTTGACTCAAACATTGTCAACGCATAAAGCCATTATAACATTTCTCTTCAATCTACCCGTCATACAAACATGGAAATACCAAAAGTTACCATCTCCATTTTAAGTCTCATACCTTTAGTCTTTTGAGCTATTTAAGAGTGTTTGGGTCTATAAAAAGGTGTCAGAGTTCAGCAAGGTCCTTGCTTTTAGAAAGAACACAATCCCTCGATAAAAAATCTAACATATCATCCACATACCCAAACACTTTTTTACCTTAAAGCTTCAGGCCTCTCTTAAGAGATTTATGCTTTTCTTTGAGGACGAAAGTTTACAAACGATAACAAGGTCCTTACTTCATAACCATTGGCAGGTCTTAGTAGCATATGTGATGTGAATAAAGTTGAAATATTCATAAGGTGTTTCTATATTTATAAAAAAATGGAAATGTTTTGTCTTAAATGTACTTTTAGCCCTTCATATTTAGATGTTTTTTATTCTTCCTATTTTAAAACTTAATTTATTAGTCCCTGAATTTTACTTTACTTAAGATTTTGTTGGTCTTCATCCAATTTTGCATATGTGACAGTGATGATTAGGATATAAAATTTATTTTTAATGACGTGGAAATGACGACATGAATAATTTATTGTTTAATTCATAAAGTAATAATTTAATGAATTTTTTTAGACATATAATTGGAAATTACCTAATTCAAACTTTTTAAACTATGTAAAGGTCGGTTGATTGGGAGAAATTATTTTATCCATCATCAAAGTCAATTTAAAAAATAAAACTTTTTCACAAGTTTATATAGACAATATCATAACTCACCTTAAAAAGAAGTAGATTCCACCTTAACAATCAAGGTAACAAAATAAGAAGAAAATAAGAGTTAGGTAGTGCGGCCAATAGAAAGAATCGATCAAACATGACACTCACACCCACCTTAAAAATATCTAAAACTTCTTTATGAAAGGAAAATAAACAACACGAACCCAAACTTTTATTCCCCCTGCCACCACAACTCAATATCTAACAGCAAAAAATGGAAAATCAAGCCAAATTTGTCTTCAATAGTGATTGTCCAAAAGGTAACTATGTCTAGAATTTACATTAAAATAAGATTTAAATAACTTATTTGTAAAAAAACCTCAAGACCTCATAATGCACATTTTTAACTCTTGACTCAAACATTGTCAACGCATAAAGCCATTATAACATTTCTTTTCAATCTACTAGTCATACAAACATGGAAATACCTAAAGTTACCATCTCCTTTTTAAGTCTCATACCTTTAGTCTTTTGAGCTATTTAAGAGTGTTTGGGTCTATAAAAAGGTATCAGAGTTCAACAAGGTCCTTGCTTTTAGAAAGAACACAATCCCTCGATACAAAATCTAACATATCATTTACATACCCAAACACTTTTTTACCTTAAAGCTTCAGGCCTCTCTTAAGAGATTTATGATTTTCTTTGAGGACGAAAGTTTCCAAACCATAACAAGGTCCTTACTTCATAACCATTGACAGGTCTTAGTAGCATATGTGATGTGAATAAAGTTGAAATATTCATAAGGTATATTTATAATAAAATGAAATTGTTTTGTCTTAAATGTACTTTTAGCCCTTCATATTTAGATGTTTTTTAGTCTTCCTATTTTAAAACTTATTTTTGTAGTCCCTGAATTTTACTTTACTTAAGATTTTGTTGGTCTTCATCCAATTTTGCATATGTAACAGTGATGATTAGGATATAAAATTTATTTTTAATGAAGTGGAAATGACGACTTGAATAATTTATTATTTAATTCATAAAGTAAACATTTTGATGAATTTTTTTTAGAACTATAATTGGAAATTACCTAATTCAAATTTTTTTAAACTATGTAAAGGGCGGTTGATTGGGAGAAATTATTTTATCCATCATCAAAGTCAATTTAAAAAATAAAACTTTTCCACAAGTTTATATAGACAATATATGAACTCTCCTTTAAAAAAAGTGGATTCCACCTTAACAATCAAGGTAACAAAATAAGAAGAAAATAAAGTGAGGTAGTGTGGCCAATAGAAAGAAACGATCAAACATGACACTCACACCCACCTTAAAAAATATCTAAAACTTTTTTATGAAAGTAAAATAAACAACACGAACCCAAACTTTTATTCCCCCTAGCTGAGCTAGCACCAAGTCAATCTCTAAGAACAAAAAAGGGAAAGTCAAGTTAAATTGGTCCTTAAGAGTGATAACCTAATAGATAACTTCTTTTAGAATCGACATCAAATAAGGTTTCAATAACTGATTGGTGAAAAAACTTCAAGACCTCATAAAGTACCTCTCTAACTCTCCACCCAAACATTGTAAACGCGTAAAGCCATTATAGCATTTATCTTAAATATACTCGTCATACAAACATGGAAATACCCAAAATTATCATCTTCCTTTTTAAGTATCATACCTTAAGCCCTTTGAGCAATTTAAGTGTTTGAATCTATAAAAAGGTGTCAGAGTTCAACAAAGTCCCTACTTCTAGAAAGAAGATTGTCCCTGATAACAAATCTAATATAGCATCCACATACCCAAGCACTTTCTTATCCTAAAGCTTTAAATCTCTCTCAAGAGATTTATGCTTTTCTTTAAGAACAAAAGTTTTCCAACCACAACAAAGTCCCTACTTCATAACCATTGGCAAGTCCTAGTAGCATATGTGATCTGCATAAAGTTGAATTATTCATAAGGTGTTTTTATATCTATAGTAAAATTAAACTAGTTTTTTTTTTTATAGTTGTAAATTATTCACTTATAATTTTGTTGGCCCCCCTTCAATTTTACATATATAACAATGATGATTAGGAAAAAAAATTTATCTTTAATGATGTGTCAATGACTTAGAATAATTTATTAATTCAAAATTTTTAAACTAATAATAATTATTTAATACAATATTTTTTCAAAGAATTGTTTTGGGCTTATAGTCAATCTATTTGATACTTCTCCCCAACCCCGAGCTTTTCATTAGTTATGTTTATGTAAGATATATGAATCCTAACCTTTCTAGTACTGAAAATAATGTGGTACTTCAACTCTCAATACAAATACAATATCATTCATCTTCATGTTACTTCCAACATTTCTTTCTTTTATCATTCTCACCATAATCAAAGGTATCATGATCATTATCTTTTTGAAAATAACATTTCTTTCTTTTATCATTCTCACCATAATCAAAGGTATCATGATCATTATCTTTTTGAAAATAACATGGAGATAGTAAAGAAAAGACATGTTTGTTTGAAAAGAGAGAAACATAAACTCAGGAACATTAACTAAATTGGGCTTCTCTACAACAACCAAGTTGGAATTCATGGTGAGAATGATGAAAGAAGGAAATGCGGAAAGAATGAAATGTTAGAAGTAATACCATGTATCTTGAGATTTAAAATCCCACATTGTTTTCATTACAAGAAAGTTTAGCCTTTATATATTTTACACAAACATCACAAACAAGTTTAGTGTTTATATATTTTACACAAACACAAATAATCAAAATCTTATGGGTTGGAAACAAGTACCAAATACATGGGCCTTAAGCCCAAAACAATTTTTTTTTTAAATTGTATTAAATAATTATTATTAGTTTACAAAATTTGAAATAATAATTTCCAATTACATTTTTAAAAAAAATAATTACAATAATTAATTTATTAATTAAAAAATATTAAATTATAAATTATTTCGGACATCATTGCCCCATCATTAAAAATAAATTTTATATCCCAATCACTGCTACATATACAAAACTAGAGGGAGACCTTCAGAGACAAAAAACTAAATTTTAAAATAGACTAAAAGTTTAAGAAATACCTAAACAAAAGTGCATTTAAGCCAATTGTTTTTATAAACTATCTTGAGAAACTTAAGAAAATAAGCTGGAAAAAATTGTTTAAAAAATGTCTGAATTTTTCTATAATTTCTCACAAAATTTCACAAAACCTGTCATCAAATAACCTCAAATAAGTCAATTCAAGGAAGTCCTAGTAGAATATGTGGTGAGGAATGGCCATGAAGTATAAGAAAAACCCCTATTTTCTGGGTAAACATTGGTGCACGTGACAATTTTGCTCTTAATCGCATTCTTAAATCAGAGTAAAAACATAACTGCTATCAACATCTATAAGTTTATGGCTTTTTAATAAGAATCACAGCCTTATTTTTATTCAAAGAAAACTTGTAAACAGGGCATCAATCCAAACTAGGCATAGGCACAAATTGAAAATGATCAAAAATAACTAGGAAATTAAGTTTCAAATAATAATGTCCCAGAAGAGCCTTGCTTACCAGAGTGTCATCTGAATGATCAAAATAGTCAGCATTTGAATGCATTCTAAATTGTTGGCATAATGTTCTTGATACCTTTTTTTACTTTCCACCTTCTCGGTTCTCATATAGAATGTTCTCATACAACACATCCATGGCAAATACAGTTATTGTTGAATAAATCTAATCATGATAAGAATATACTTTCAGCTCAACTAAACCACTAGCAATAAATGAAAAATAAATTCATTTAAAGCAGGGTTGTAGCCTGTGCAACTCATAACAATTCAAATGGGAGTCATTTCACAACAAAAGGTACTCGACTTCTTAAGTTGGAATCCTAAAGAAGCGGTGATCAAGGGCTTGGCGGGCAGTAATACGTTTGGCCGGATCATAAGTCAACAAGCCATGTAACAAATCAATTAACAAGGACCTTGAGGACTCTACATGACGTGATATAATATCCTGCATACAAAACAATAACTGGTCATCACAAGTTACAATGCACGCATACTGTAATTGAATTATTAAGATCAAGCCAAGCCAGAAATCACTGATATGGAAGATGGAATAAAACAAACCTTAAGATGACCAAGCCTCTTCACTGCATTAATGCTCTCCCTTGAAACAGCTCCTTCAGGCCATCTTAGTCGTGATCCACGCTTGAAATATTTTTCTGCACCCTTGCTACATATTGATTGTCAGGCAAATATTAGTTACATGATGTTACCAGATGAATTTAGTGTACTCAATTAGATGTATCTCAAAAACTTTAGTTTAATAGAAAGAGAAATTTAGATATGTTGAAAATTCATTACTTACTTAGCCTTTTGAACCATATGCTCCGGTAGAGGTCCCAAAACTCTCTCCATCATTGCCAGGTGCTCCAAATTTTCATGTGTCTGAAACAATGCTTCTCCCTGACAAAAGTTTCAGAGTTAGAATGCTAAGACCAGATGTTCCAGATTCAAACCATGCTTACATCTCGAGAGATGGAAGACCAACCGTGCATAATTCGAAGAGAATACATCCAACACTCCACAAATCACATGGGGTTGACCACCCTAGACCTGGAATAACATTCCACATGCATGTGAGAATACATTAACAACTAAAAACTATATGATCAACCCAACAGCCTAGTAACAATTTCCTATAATCATTAAAAAGAAATAGATTTGACATTTCAATATTCTTTTTCATAATGTCAACATGAGAGAAGAAACAAAACGGACACGAAGTGTATAAGAAATAATAATAAGTGGGTATTCATCAAGAGAATACAATCTAAATTTAAAAAATGTGAGTCATTACATTACAAAGAGCTCAAAACAACCAATAAAGTGAGCACCAAAGATCCAAGATAAATAAAGAAAATGGGAAATAGTTCCTAGAAGATTTAATCAGAGATGCAATGCAACTACCGGAAATATTCTTTATAGGTCAAAATATTTCTCATTATCGGTCACTATTTTCATCTTCAAGCACATGTTAAATGTGCTGCACATTTACTCTACACAGAGGAATGGACAAACAAGTAAAGCAATGCATTCTCACCAACCAAAACATATTTCGTTACCTAAGATAACCTCAGGGGCTCTGTAATGCCTTGTAGAAACAATGGAGCTATGGCTCTGATTTGCAGATGCAGTACTACCAAAATCAATCAGCTTAATAGCACTAGACTTAGGCAAGCACCTAAATTGTGCTTCATCTGAGAAAACCCTCTGTACCAGTCAAGTAATTTTCATTAAATATATTTTTATAGCGAATCTACGGATGTAGTTATATTTTTATCTGAAAACACCAAGTACCTTACAACCGGGAAGCTTTACATAGTCAGAAGAAACAAGAAGTATATTTTCTGGCTTCAGGTCGGTGTGGATTAGCCATAGTTCATGCATATCTGAATATGACAATGCATGAGAAGCATATTATAAAATAAGTCGGACACAACAAAGATACACTGCATCCTGGGACAAACTAAGCAAGCTAAGGAAAAAGATGTTGATTTATAACCAAGAGATATATGAATAAAACACGAGGAATAAATGCTTGAGGTCAAGAATAATATCCACAGACATGCTACAGATTCCAAAAGCTGTCGTCCAAATTCACGAACAAGATCCACAGGGAATGGGCAGTATTTATTTCTCTTTAGAAAATCAAATAAGCTTGGTCCAAGCTTCTCAAAGACCTGATAACACCATTAAAATGCGTTGAAAGGAATGTTTCTACTCAGTTTCCAGATCTATGAATAAATCCCACATGGACATGTGTATACATATCAAGTCAATAAAATTGCAATATAAACGAGGATAAATCACCTATCCTTTCCGAACTTAAAAAACAAGCAGCGCTAAAGAACAAGAAGACTATACGCTGACGGAGAACAAAACTAACCAATTTCAAAATAATGCAAAATTAACCTCTACGCCTAATCCAATTCAGTATTCAACTCACTATCAAACTTTATCAACACTAACTAACTGAATACGACAAAATCCAGGAAAATGTTTCGATTAAAGGAATATAATAAGACTACTCACAATGCATATGTGATTCCGGTAATCAAACCAATTTAGGATCTGTACACACCTGCAAACAATTATCATGGTTGAGTAAATATTTATATCAGTCATCTCTTATCGCAAAGAAACACTAATCAAACAACCAAATTTTAGCAAGTTAATACCGTGAGCATCCCACATCACTCTTCACAAGACGCTCCAGCACATCAACCTCGATCATTGCCGCGTCACGATACTTCTGAATGCTTCTAATTACCTTGATAGCTACATAATCTCTTGTTTGACGATCCCAACATTCCAAAACTCGACCAAAAGTGCCTACAGCACTAGAAATATGCTGAATGACACAAGCAGAGTCACAATAAAAATTTAAACTTGTATTCAGAGACAACTTGACCGCTAACCTTCACCCATTTTGCCGAGAATTTTATCTGTCAATACAAAATTAAAAAAATATATTAAAAAAAATAAAAACCAAACCACTAGATCTTACAAAACTAATATCATAATTCATAACATCAGATAAGCAGCATCAAATTACAAATCAAGAAGAAAACTAAATCGTTAAAAAATTTATAATCATAATGAAAAAAGTTACATCTAGGAGTGAGATTTTCGCCGAGATTGAAAACATAATGTCCATCACGATCGTCGTTTCTTCTAGGAGGCGATGCATGCTTTTTCTCATCACCAACCACCGCGAAATTTCTCTGTGCCTAGAATTTCAAATTATTAATCAACAGAATGAGAAAAAAATGAAGAATTACAAAATTGAAGGAGGTTAATTTACCGGTGGAAATGAAGGTTGAGGAGCTACATCCCATTCGAGACGAGGTCGTTTCCGTGTTCGTTCCCTTTCCATGATAGATACCATTAACATGCAGATAAGGTTAAGAGCTGAAAAGCATATCTGCGACGAAATTTTCTGAGAAAAATTAGAAATCAAGTGTGAAATTGAGGAAAGATAGTTGTGGGGAAGATGCAGAATGTAATTGCAGATTGCAGAGAGAGATACGGGATTCCTGTGTGTGTAAGAACGGAGAACCGAAACAAAGCCGTTAGGCGTTAGGGTTCTGTTTGTTTTGTACTTTCTCTTTTATCGCGTGAAATTTTAAGTACATATCTCTAGTAGCTAAATCATCCTCTTTCATTAATTTAATCTCTAAATTGTTAAAATTAGTTAAAGAATCTTAAATTGTTCTTTTATTCAACTAGTTTTTTCCATTTTTTTCTCTCAAAATAATCAAAATTTTCAATTTATTTTTTAAAATGACCATAATTTAAAATAAAATCAAACTAATTATATTTTAAACAAAAAATTTTGTGCACAAGAGAAGTAGTTAGATCCAAACCCGATCCTGTATAAGTGCTGAAAACTCTATAATGTTGGATTCTAAAATCTTAGAAAGTCCTGTTTTTTTTATAATTAGTAAAATAAAATATAAAAAATAAATAAAAAAGATTAAAAATATAAAATTTATATAAAATAATTTATAATTTAAACAATATTTTAAATTTTTTTGATATTTCATTTTCTTAATATACAATAGTAGTTTAAGTGTGTTATTTTTAATTATTAAAATAATATTTTTAAAAAAAAAAATTAAGTCCATTTTTAAAATTAAACGGGACCTCTAATTAAATGGGTTGGCACTAACCAGACTCAATAGTGCATGCATTGAATTTTTGTACACAAGCATGGCACATGCATATAGAATATGTCACTGCATGTGGCACATGCATGCATCATCTAGTATAGGCAGTGGCTACTACATTGTTTAGAATTTTTTAAATTATTCTAAGATTAAAATAATTTTAAATAAATTAAAAATTAAAAATAATTTATAATATTATTTCATAAAATTGAATTACATGATGGTTGAATAGAAAATTGATGACCCGTTCGATCGTAACGCCCATTTGATTCCACAATCTAATGCATTCGCTTGTCTTCGAGGTCTCCCACGATTTCTTTGAGGTGTTTGGGGTCTCCTAGTATTCGCCTAAGGAAAAGGTGGTTGGTGCGAGGGTTCTAACATATCTAACAAATTTTGAATCATATCCCTCAAGTGTTAGTGGTGTCGTAGTCGGCGCTGCCATAATTGAGTTCGGTGTCCATGTTGTAATAATTGGGTCGTGTTGGTTGGGTTACGTGTGAGGGGCGGTTGGTTGAATTTGGACATTGAATCATTTTGGAAACGAAACAATGGTTCTTATGGTGTTTGAAAGGAATGTGTTTGTTGGGTGTTTAGGCGATATGATGTTTGAGTGCGCATTGGTTGGGTGATATGGTGGGATGAGGTGGAATCATATGTATCATTGGGGCTATAATAAGATGTGGTGGCGGCATATGGTTGTTGGTGGTATGGTCATTATCTTGGTTTTATGTTTGAGTATGTGGCATGAATTGGTTGCGGAGTTAGGTGTCTGTGGGTTCGTAATCATGTTCGATTGAAGGTTGGATGTTTTTGGTATGGTGATGTTGTGATTGGATGGGTTGGCATTGTTGTTGGGTTTGGAAATGGTGTGGGATTGGTTGTTGAGCTGAAGGTTTGTTGTTGGGCATATACAGGGGTGGCCCTGAGCATGGGTACGCGGGGCGGAACCCAAGACACCATAATTTTAGGGGCACAAATTTTGTTTACCTATATATATTAAAAGAGTTTTTTTTTTTGAAAAATACTGGCTAACAAAATTATAGGACATCTGTTCGCCGTGAAAATTGGCGAACAACCGCTGGTCTAACAAATTGAAAAAGATATGTGTTACTTGCAGGGTCGACCACACAAATTCTAGGACATGTGATAATTGGTATTTTAAATGAAGTGTATGAAAACTATGAACACTTCGACAAGTTCTATGGTAAGGCAACTTATTTCAAGTATAAATGAATTTAAGTAACAACAAAAGGAAGTAAAATGCTGATAAATAATAAGGATAAGAACTTGCATAGAGAAAAAGTAAACTCTTAAATAAAAGAAGTGTTAAATTGCATTGAAATAAAAACTGGTGTTTAGTCAACATACATTCTCACAACTCGTTTCTCTCAATCACACGGGTACTTAGAGTAGATGAAAATTTTGTACACAATTGAACACACACATCTTAACAATAAGACCTTCTATTTATAACCATCGAACATAACCGCCATTAATGACTAACAAATGAAATCAAGACAAGTGTCGTTGCGCATGCCTTCGAACCATAAGGACGTTCCACGTGTCTTTCTAAAAAATGGACTTTCCCTCTTTTATTTGAATTCAAACGAACTTGCCGAAATGTCCCTTAACAACGCTTCTGTCGAATTGGGTCTTTCAACTATTGAGGAATGTCTCTAAGTCCATAACATAGAACCTCCTGACGAAAAGACGTTTTCGTCTCTCATTCCAATAAAACATAGTTTTAGTCAAAGTAATTAGATTTCCCCAAGAAACTCTATTTGCTATTTTTAACTTTATTCAGGCGTCGAAATTAGGAGCCAACAAATTTCCCTCCAAAAATGTCATTTTCGACGTCAATGAAGAACAAGACATTTTTTATAGTATTGTTCGATGTCCCAAATGACTCTTGCATGTCTCTTACTATTCCAAACGTTTATGACGTCAGACTCATCATTGCACTTTCTGCAACACGTCTCTTCAAAACACGCCATTACCCCTAGCCATCATCACAATCCTTAGATACTAGGAAATCGTGCACTAGGCACTACTAACCACGTTTTGTTAAACGGGAATTGTGGGACACGTGCTCCACTAACTTTCGGCTCTTTAATGCTGATTTGAGGCCTTTTGATCTTCCACAAGCCTATAAATTGCTCCAAGCTTACTTGTTTTAACTTTTGCGCTCTCATAAATTTTCAGACAACTTTCCTGTTTCTTCATTTCCAAACTTCTAACCACAAACCCAGATTCTCCAAAAAATCTCAACAATGGCATCTTCAACTGCCAACGCCAAGGATTCTAAGAAAAATCAAAAGTCTAAAGATCTAAAGAAGACTTCTCAACTCCCTCCTTTTGACATGCTATCAGCATCGATGATGATGGGGAACCAGCAATTTCTCCCTAAGCCACTGGTAGAAGAGAAGAGGAAAATATATGAATCCCATGTACTTATCCCTCTTGTTGTATCTGGTAAAATGCATGCCCTATGTGGGCCTCTGCCTTCATATGGTTTTGACCATAGTAAAGCTAGGGACTTTTTCCCTTCCTACCATAAATCTAAACCCATTGGACAAGCCAACAAAGCTAAGGTTGAGAAAGCCTCTGCTGATGCGGTAGTGCTGAACAATATAGATTTAAGATATATGAACAACAACTTTAGGGTTTTTAGAGCGACACCCTCCTTCAAGGAATCAGATGATTACATGAATTTGCTAGCGAAGATATAAAAAGTAAAATCTCAAACCTGGAAAAACTAGGAATTTATTATTTAATCATGTTGTCGAAAATAAGTCTCGACTATTGTCAAACTATATTAGTCTCTTCCTTGTATTTCTGGGAGAGTATCCATTACACTTTCCATCTCCCTTGTGGGATGATGACCCCTACGCTTTTCGATGTAGTCGCTATTACAGGGCTTAAACCCACCAGAAACCCATATGACCCTGACTTGGAATCCGACGATTCCATAAGTTTTAATTCTGCAAAAGCCACATATTATCATTTTATAACGCACTTTTTCGACAAGACCACTACTGATGTTTCTTATCGGAAACATATAGCCTTTTTAATTGTATGGTTATCCCACTGTGTTTTTTGCTCGAAGTCCCTACAAGTGGCTATGAGGTACCTGACTCTAGCCACTCAACTCCACAAAGGCCACAACATCTACCTATGTGAAATGATTTTGGGGAACCTTTACGAGTCTCTAAGTGAAGGGGTAACCCAACTCAAAGACTTGGGAGCAAAGGGAAACTTGCTATTGTCTGGTCCTTTCTGGATTTTGCAACTCTGGTTGAATGCCTCGTTTGAAGCCAGCCTTCCTAACAAAAATTCAATTGACGAAGCTGCTGGCGAGATCAAAAATAGGAGAATCGAAAGGACGCGCTTGGTCCAGCTTACTCCCCACGAAGAAGGACAGACCATCATGCCAATGTTCCTAAGCTACGTCATGATGTTTGCAAAACGTCGTGAATTTACTTTGAACATGGCCCCATTCGCTGCAAGAAAACATGGTCCTGAGTGGTTCACCAGACCTTTCCCGACTCTAAACAAAACTCTAGAGGTTGAATCTTCACAAATCTGGGAAGCCTTCTTGATCCCAAGGTTGATAACACTTCGACTGAATCTGTCAAAGTCTCAAGTTGCTTTGGTTGCTTATCAACCAAACTTGGTGGCTCGACAGTTTGTTTGGTCCAAGCACTCCTCAAATGCCTCTTCGAAAAGAAAGGTTCCCTTCTACTTCATAGTGTGAAGTATACTAAGGAAATGGCTACGCCACATCTTCTCCGTTATTCCAGTAAAGCTTAACTCGTCCCCATTGGCTTCGATCCTTGTTTCTACTGTACCCCAGAGTTCAACCACTGGTGGTCATCGTAATATGCCAAAGAATTCTTCGATGCACCTTCTTTTACTCGACTTATTAATCAAGCTTTCCTCTTTGTACAGGAAAAGATCAAGAAAGGTAATATGACACACAATAAAGAAATCCAAGCATTCCAGAAGTACTTTGAAATTGTTTATCGACCATATGACCTTAGTCGAACCGTCCGCAAAGCAGCTGTTACTTTAAAGAATTTTTTTTAAAGAAAATGGAGAATTTGGAACTCCCTTCGTTCGTTTCTCCCAAGGAACGGTACGCACTGGCTTTCAAACAATTTCCTATGAAATTTCCTCAACTACCAAATGTTGATTTTGGAGTGGCCTTTGCCCATCCATTACC